TTTTGAGACATGGTCTCTCGTTGAACCCAGCGCTCATCAATTGGCCTATTTAACCTGCCACAGAGCTCTGGAATCCACCTACCTCTGCCGCTGGTACTAAGTTGGAAGGTGTGCTGCTACCCCTGGCTTTTTATATGGACTCTGGAGATCCGAGTTCAGATCCTCATGTGTATACAACTGGCATTTTACCAAACCATCGCCTTCTAAATGTGCTTTTATTTATTAACTTCTACATGATTCGATCAAGTGACTATTTATACAGATTTCAGCCATTTGATAAGTGATCACTAAAAGAAAAGCCGTCCGTGAAAAGAGCAAGAGGCCTTCATATTGTCTTCAAGATCTGTTTTTCCTATAGTTCATTTGCATTCATCTCAGAATGCAAGCTACAAGCTACTCTGCCTGCTCAGATACTTCAAAGAAAAATGCCTCCTTGGAGTAGCTACTTCAGAAAGGTGGGTTCAGGTATCAGTTCTAAAGCACAGTTCTAAAGCACCCATTCTCCTCTCTTAGCTAGTGAGAACTCTTTCTGGTGAAAGCGACTCTCTTCTGTACCAGGATCTCTCAAACCTGGGGACCACTGGCATGCAGGGATGGAAAAACCTTTGGCAGAGAGGGCGAGTGTCCTGGCCATGATAGACTGTTTAGCTGCATCTCTAGTATGAGCACCTCTATCATAACCACCCGAGGCTAGTAAGCTTCTAGAAGGGCAAAGCCATTCCCTGTTTGAAAGGCTTTGTGCTGGCTAGTCTTAGGAAAACTTGACACACAAACCAGAGGTTCTGTAATCTTAATGATGGAACTGCAAATTGAGAAAAAAAAATGCCTCCGTAAGATCCAGCTGTAAGGCATTTCTTAATCAGGGATTGATGTGGGAGGGCCTGGCCCATTGCGGGGTGCCATCCCTGGGCTGGTGGTCCTGGGTTCTATAGGAAAGCAGGCTGACCAAGCCATGTGAAGCAAGTCAGTAAGCAGCACTCCTCCCTGCCCTGTTTGAGTTCCTGCTGTGACTTCCTTCAGTGATAAACGGCGATATGGAAGTGTAAGCCAAAAAAATTTTTTCCTCTCCAACTTCCTTTTGGGTCATGGTGTTTCATTGTAGCAATAGAACCCCTAAGACATCCCTGGTTCTAAACCCGTGTGCATGTGCACACACCCTCAAGGGCACACTGGCTGGCCTGAGTTTGATAAGGGTGCTGTAGTCACTGCAATGAGAACGGCCCCATGGGCTCTTATGTTTGAACAGTCACCAACTGGCTGAACTGCCTGGGAAGGATTAGGAGCTGTGGCCTAACTGAAGGAAGTATGTCATGGGGGCACACTTTGAGGCTTCATGAGCTTCCTGCCATGCCTTCTCTTGTGGTTTTGAGACATGAGCTTTTAGCTTTTCTTACCTTTCAGGCCTTTTCTTTCCCATCATGGACTCTAACCCTCTGGAAAATGTAAGTTGAATTAAATACTTTCTTTTGTAAGTTACCTAGGTCATGTCTTATCAAAACAATACATAAGTAACTAATACAGAGGTTGGTACCAAGGAGTTGGCCATTCCTGTGACAGACTGGACATGTGGGTTTTGGATGAATATGAAATATGAATATGGAACAGGGTGGGTCTGTCGAATAGTTGAGACAAGGTGACAGGGTCTGAAGAGTAACCTCCTCATGGAATGTATTTCCTGGGCTAGTGTGCATAGTTCCTCTGGTGCCTTCTGCATGATCCTCCTGACCCTCAATCCCATGGACTATCAAAGCAGAACCCTGGCCATTCCCAAAGGTTAGCATAGTTAAATGTCATCTTAGTGTTTGAGTGTCACCTTTGAGTCCCTTTCAGCAGATACTTGTTGAGCCCGGCCGATAGGTTCCTTGACACATGCCGGCTGTGGCTGTCCACTACCCACCATGGCAGGAATTATCCGGGATGGAGTCAGAACAAAGATGTTCAGGCCTTCTGCCAGCACCTCTGTAACAGAGCCTGTACCTCAGCAAACGCTTCAGGTGGTTTCTATGCGCATTAAATCTGGGAAAACATGACATGAGTAACACAGGGAAGGGGAAAGGCTCCCCCCCCACGTTAGAAGTTCACATTATGGTTGGGAAGATTGACAGAAACTAAAACAACGGGGCAGAATGTGGGTTTTCATCACCAAGCACATTTTGGTGGGAAATGGGTATTAACGACCAAGTCATTCCTCCGCTATGCATGGGTGAGACTCAATGTCCTCACCTATAACACAGGGACATGTTTCCTATCCGCCTGATAGGATTGCCCTGAAGACTGAAACAGAGCACAAGAAAGCACCACAATGGCACTAGGCACCATTTAGTGATAACGGATTCTTGAGGCTAGAGAAATTCAGAGATGAGAGAGCACAGGACACTTAAAATGGTGTCGAAAGATCCCAAGTACGGAGCCAGGTACTAGAGCGAAAACAAGGTGGGAACCTGCGCCCTTTGGCCAGTCTCCAGGCCTGACCACAGCGAGCGAGCACCTACCCACCACCACCCACCAGCTGCCTCCTGACAGCCTGCAGAATGTCCACACCATGGGTCTCAGAAACACAGGGTCAATGGGTGCTCTGCAAAGGACACGAAACAGATGCGGTCGCCGTGGAGAGGCTGGCAAGAAGCCCAGCGGTCGCAAATAATCGCTGTGGTTCAAGGCACAGGAGGAAGGACATTTTGTCATTTTGCAGGCCTGACCTGTGGGCATGGCCAGACCCTGCAAACCAAGCCAAGGATGGGGGTTCATGGGCAACAGTTTCAGAAGACTCTCATAAGCCTTTTTATACACTAGATTTTGTTCTCTTTAATTGTCCTGTGCTTGTGCCAGGGAGGGGGCTATTGCTTTTTCATACATTAAAACAAAACAAAACTGCAGAGGTAGGATTTGAACCTAGACTGTTCGTCTTTCCAAAGCCCACACTCTTCCTTGTAGGCTGCCCTGCTGCAGACTTTGAATCTCTGGCCTTTCTCTAAGCAGAGGGAACAATGTGGTTGGACTTTTGTTGTGAAACCCCAGCTCTCTGACTCACTGATGTCTGCCATGCTTGTCCTGAGCTTCTCCAGAGAAATGCTGTCTTCTGGCAGGAAAAGATAAAAACGGCTGATACACATGAGTCACCGCAATCACTATAATTAACAGTGATTCAAGAGCCAGATGCCGAAGGAAAAGAGACTCCAGACCCCGCTTTTAGGCCTTCCTGACTTTGAGCTGCACTCTGCAGCTAGGCTCCTTTGTGTAAATGAAGACACAGTACCTGGATTTCATGCAAGCTCTAAGGTACTGGAGCCAAGGGAGGCTGAACAAATTGCTGTCCTTATGATGGAAAACCGTATACCAGGACCAGAGAGTTGACAGGCCGTGAAGAGTGTGTGGGTCTCTGCTAGCGCGCTCAACTGCCCTCTAAAGGCTAAGCTTTCCCACCTGCTGAGATGAGTCACAGTAGCTACAGCTGTAAAATACAGCTGTACCAGGGGTTCAACTACTGCCCCCCCTGATCCCGGGAAGGTATCAGTGAGCTTTTCAAAAAGGCCAGACATCAGAAGAAATCGATTAAAACAAGCCTTGAACCACAATACACACCACACTACGAGCGAGCCCCCAGGACGTCACACAAGGGCAATCTCTCCATGGTGCAGGTGTAAGGTTGCTCCAGACCGTTCCCAGAGCCCAACAAAAGAAGTCAACTGTGGTCAGGAACCCGGACGGGCTGTGCCTAGCGGCTATCAGTGTTGATAGGCATGATTCCCTGTTTAGAAGAGTTTCAACTGGCCTTGAGATTTGAACACAATACAACCAACAGACTCCTGCATTATCTTTTTGAATAGACTTTAATTGACAGCCAAGTGAAAAACAAACAAACAAACAAACTGCAGGTTACATTTTTAGCATTATCATCAATACACTGTAAGATTGAACATCCACACAGTGATGTAGCTAATATCATACACCTCCTAATTTTAGTTGACAAAGAGCACATCATATATATATATATTTACATAGTATTTCAAGCAACAGTAAATAATAAACCCTTTAAAAAAACAAAACAACACACACACCTTTAAACAATGAATTTCCTCACAATAATATATCTTTCCCCCCTCCCACAATACTTGCAGATTCAAAGATACTTAAGTTACTTAAGAACAGTCTTACCAGTGAAGATCCTGGACCAGCCCCTAGTTTCTCTTAAAGTCATTTTAATTTTTACAACTTGAAGCCACATAGCCAGTGTGGTCTGTACACTCTGAAGACACCCCAGATGACGGAAATGAATTCTTCCACTTCCTCTGAATGAGAAGGAAAGCACAACTCTGAAGACGTATCTAATTACAACTGAAAAGTAAGTCAAGAACATTTTAAACAATCTCTGCTCTTACAGTATCATTTCTTAAGAGCACAGTGCTAATGTTAACAGTGAATCGCTGAACAGGAAGGCTCCTTCAGGTTTCCACACAGGGCTTCTGGTTACTTCTAATCCACTATGCAGTTACCTGAAACCTATGAGCTTTGACAGTCGCCTGGTAGAATTACACCCTGCCTTCCATGTTTGCAGTCTGACCTCTGGAGGCCTGCACCATACTTTTGCCCCTGGTGCCTTTCTCTCGGATTTCTTTCTTTCTAGGGCTGTTAGTAAATGAGAACCATGACAAAAGTTTCCATTAGCAGACACATACACATGCTCTGACCTATAAATATCCCGCCAAGGAAAATGGAACAATCGCTTCGATCCTGGTGAAAATGAGCATAAAGGGGAAGGGGAAGGTAGGGAGACGTTACCAACAACGGCTCTTCTAGCAGTAGAAAACTCAGACCGAATGGCAGTGTGCTTTAAAGACACGGTGAGCCCCTTTTCCAGGCCTGGGAGTTAACTGAGAGCGGGCAGAGCACAGACTCCCGCCAGCAAACCTGATGGGCTGGGCTGTCGTCAAACAGGGGCGCTGCCTCAGAAGTTGGATGACGGTCCGCCGACGCGTCCTTCCGTGGGTGATCGGGAGCAGTATCAAAAGCAGATTCGGAAGAGTCTTCACCTTCGGCCTGGGATGCCGAGCTGTCCCTGGGTTGGGCCCCTCAAAGCGCCAGCTGGAGCTTGGTCATGTTTCTCTGGTGCATGTTGTGATGGCGGACCAACTCGTCTGACCGCGCGAACTTTTTCTGACAACTGTGCCACCGACAGCTGAAGGGCTTTTCACCTGTTGACACAATTGCCTGTCAGAGACCCTCGCAGCAGAGCGCCCGGCCACAGGTTCAACTATCAAAGGCCCGAGTTAAATCACCACAACCCGCCCCAGACTCCCCTGGGCCATTCCCTAAGCTAACCAACTGACTCTTCGCCGGCCGCCTGGAAGTGGCAATGCCTTTTGCGAGGGTTTAAAGACCAGAAGCACTGTAAACAAAGTAAAACGGGAAACGGTGGAAATGGGAGAGAAGTCTGGTTGGTGGGAATCTCTAAGGAACTCAAGAACTCAGGGATTCTGGGAAACTTCTGTTTCATCTCTAAGGATGCTCGGAGGCCCTGCCAATGGGTCCCTGCTGTTCTGTAAGTGGGATCTGAGCTGCAGGGGCCTCTGAACCACACCACCCTGCACGCTGCTGGCTGGTGGCTGGCCAGCAGTAGATCTGGGACTGCGGCTTTAGTCTCTATAGAGAGATGAGTAAAATAAATCATGGATACCAATTTGAATCCCATTTGCTTCTTTTTAGTGCAAAGTGTGACTCAGAAATGAGCTGTGTGAAAGGGTCATTCCCAGTTGCAGCAACCCTTCTGGTGATCCATCTCGGGGGCTCTTACTCTCCTTAAAGCCAATAAATACCTTGCGTGTAATGCCTAACACACAGGCGTTACCTGCAGAAGTATGTCTGTTGCCGTGTGTGTCCCTCAAAACAGCCTCACGAAGAAACGTTATCCTCACTCTACAGATGAGGATGTATGGCTGCTGCGGCCAGGTCCAGGCAGGATTCAAACCCAGGCACGGCTAATCCCAAAGCCTACACTTGGCCTATCACATCCCCAGGGCTCGCCGAGGAAAATACCACAGGAGCCAAGCCCTGTGCCACCTGGAGGACCTTCCCAGGGGATTAATAGCCTCATTGAGAAATGTCGGACTGAAAGACAACATGTCAAAGATACCCAAAGAAGGAGAATAAGACTCTTATCTCTCCAACACTGGGACACAGGTGCTTTGACGTATCTTAAGGCATATCCTGCCTGTGCTAAGGACCAGGGACTTTCTGAGAAACTTAAAGTGTCATGGATCTCTGTCTCCTACTCACTGTCCATCTGCTTTTCCTAACCCGGCTCCTGCCTGCCACTCCCACCTCCTCGTGGACACTTCTCACTTCTTTCTCCTATCAGTCCTCCCAGTGACACCCAGCCTGGCTGACCCTGGCTGACTCTTCAGTTCCCTGGCTTCCTGGGGTGGCTACATGAACTCATACTCTTTCTCCAATAGAAAGACTAGGGATGGGATGGGGTCGGAGCCATCACCACTGAGGGCAACATCCAATTGCTTTTTGGCTCGGGCAAATCCCCTAATCACCACCATCACTCATCTGTTAAATGAGGATTAAAAATGCCCACCCTTCTCTTCTTCCATTGATGCTCTAAGGATGGGGAGCTAACCTAAGAGACAGCCCTGCCTCCTGCTATTTTCACCATGAAGCTCATTAGCCTTATCGGCAAGCAGAAGGCTTCAGCAGCCACTGGCTGTGTCAATCCCCCGATTCTCCTCTCTGTGCTAGTATAAAGGAAATATATCCGTGAGTTTATGTTAATCTGGCAGAAATCTAGACTCCTCACAGAGCTTTACTCTAAGGAAGCAAGGAGTACACTCTTCAGTCTGGGGTGAAACATGTTTTACTCTCGGCAAAACAAGAGTATCTTGAATTCTGATAGCGCTGAGAGGTTGATTGCTCCATCAGTGACACAGCAAACTGGGGACAGCAGGGATCAGATCATCTCTCCGGCTTGGTTCCGAACACCCTGGATATTCTCTTCCCTAGCCCTAGCCCAGCGCTCTTCAACCCTTTCTCTGAAAAACATTCCCATTTATCGTTTAAAGACACTGTCACTCTCTGAATGGATTCCCAACTCTAGAACTTTTACATGAGTCTCTCTCACTACAAACAGTTTCATTCGACAGTAGCTTAAGAAAATAATGAAAAATAAATGTGAAGAAAAGTTTACGCACTTGTTTTACCTGTATGAGTCCTGGTGTGGGTCTTCAGGTGGTCGGACCGGGAAAACTTTCGCTGACAAGTTTTACACTGGAATGGTTTCACACCTAAACGGACAGAGAAGGTCTAGACTCGGCCCTAACAATGCGGGGCACAGCGAGACCCAGAAGGCCGGCTTTTTGGCAGCTGGAGAAGCCCGGCAGATCCATCACATCAGCCAGGTCTGTGTCTACCTGCACATCTCCTTGATCCCGAGGCCCAGCAGAAGCCACCTGATTCTGTAAGGCAGCCTTCAGGAGCTGCTCCTGACTTGGAGAAAACCATTCCCTAACCACAAAATCCAATTCTCACCAGCAGCCAAGTGTTAAAGAGACTGAGAAAAGTGAACCACTACAAACCAGTTTCTCTCCACTGCCCTGGTTCCTGACTGCTCATCAGGGGATCACCAGCGTGCCGTGGAATCTGACTTGTGCTGTGGTTCTCATGACAAATATGAGCTGTTTCCTTTCTTTCTTTTCTCTTCTTTGTAAGGAAAGACTTGGTGTTTTTTTTTTTAATTATTATTTACAGTGTGTGTGTGTGTGTGTGTGTGTGTGTGTGTGTGTAATATGTGTGTGCATTGCCCTCGGAGACTAGTAGAATGTCAGATCCCTTGGGGCTGTGCTTATGGGCCTCGTGATGTGGATGCTGAGAACCAAACCCAAGTCCCCTGCAAAACCAAGTCCTCTTGACAGCTGAGCCATCATCTCCACAGCCCCTCTCCTTTTTAAAAGAAAAGTCTCCAGATGAGGGGAAGAAAGTTAGAAAAATTAAACGGATAGATGACCCTCTCATCCGGGTTCGGCAGAGAAGACAGTCACAAACTCAGCTCTAACTCAAGCGCCTGTGACTGCTGGCTACGAGAAGTGAACCTACAAACCTGTGTGTCTCCTTTGGTGCCTTTTGAGCTGGTCTGAGCGAGAAAACCGTCTCTCGCAGTCCTTGAAGTCACACTGGTATGGTTTCTCACCTTAGGGAAGACACACATCATTCTGAGTACCACGCTGGAAGTAGAACGGCATCACACGCAAGCCCTCCTAAACACAGATGAGGGGATCCTAAAATGCCCAAAGCACTTCCGGGGAGCTCACTAGGGCAGTGCTGTAGATTTCTAAGAAGATACAAATCCCACCTGCACACGCGCCCGTGGACACAGTGGGGGAGTGAATGAAGTTCCCTCACTGTGAACTGGAGCCAATAACCGGACAAGTTCAAAGGGGTCATGGACAGATTGGAACAGCCCATCCACGCAGAGGGGATAGACTGGTACCTAGCACTGAAGCAATGTTCAAAAAAAAAATACATATATTACCAAGGGCTATTTAGAGAGGCCAACAAACCAAAACAAAAAGAGTTTGTTTCAAACTCCTTGGTTGAGTTGGAGATAGAATTTTGGAGAGATACGCCTTGAGGCTGGCCTCGTGACTTAAGTGTCCTTTGTTTTATGGCCTGAAGGGCTGGTGTTCTCGGCTACTGACTTATTGTTCTTGGGCCCAACATAAACGACTCCATGCTTGTGAGATTCCCCAACTGAAGCATTTAGCAAGATTGCTGTCCTTTCATCTGAACCGAGTCAGTGATAGGATTGTGCAACCCTGGACTCAGAAAGAAGGGCCCCACCCCGTCTCCACAGTAAAAATACAACCAAACCCTGGGCGAGGAGTCCTCTGGGGCACGTTGAGCTTCTGCAAGTGTTCCCACCTCCTCAAGATCTGACTCACTGAATTCTGGGATGGAGATCGAGCTACTTGGAGACCAGTAGGGTCTTTCCTTTGATGAATAGCTCCAAGTTACCTTTCCTGCCTCACTACCGCTGATGCTTCTCTGGTCTTCCTGTGTGTCTCCTGACCTCACCGCTCCTGAGCCCTCCTCAAGCAACACCCCTCATCATTATGTGTCGATTCCCACCCATCAAAGTGTTAAATGTACATCCCACAAATGCCATTTGCTCTGCAATGCTCTCGCATGGTTTGAATAACTGAATGTCCCCACACCAACTCATGCATTTGACCCCTTGGTCTTAAGCTCATAGTGTTGAGGGGTTGTGGATCATTTAGGAGGTGAAACATAACAACAAACAGTGGACTTTTGACCCTTATAGCCTGATGGACTTCTGGCTCCTGGCTCCCATCTCTCTCTCTCTGCTTCATCCAGAGACATGAACAATGGGCCTTATTCTCCCACTTCCAGAGCTTTAAGGATGTTCCCAACACAACCTTCCCTGCTGTAGTAAACTGTGCCCCAAACCATGAGCCAAAAATGAATACATTTGTCAGGAGTTCAGTGACAGATGCAAAAGAAATACCTAGAATAGCCTGCTTGGAAACTTCATGGCCTTCTTCATCAAAGAATCGGTTCCAGAACACCAAAGTGTACCTTTGGACCTAACCTTCAAAGTTCATGGTGACCTTGCCCATCAATCACTGAGTCATCTGACTGTCCTATCCCAGGTTTGTCTTCCCTGTTAAAGATGCTAACTGTCCTTCAGGAATAAAACTATCGTTTATTCAGGCCTAGAAACCTGAATCCTCTGCTAGGTGTGCTACAGCTACAATTGCTGTAGGACAATTTGAACTGAAGTGCAAGGCTCAAGAATCGTGCAGTGAAGGCGTTATCACCTTCGTTGTCCACACAAAGCACCTGGAGTTCAGAGGGATGGTGAACAATTAGCTCATGGTCTCACCAGGTAATGGGGAATGCAACGTATAAACACTTTTTTCATTCTGCATCCTTTGCTTTCCACCACCCTGTTCTGCTTTCTTGAACATGGTTCACCGATTTCTTTAATAAAGGATGGGAAACCAGCACACCAACGGCCCCGAAGGCCTGGGCAAATTACCTTGGGCTGACTTCTGAAAGCGCCAGCTTTCCATCCCACAAGTCCCCTGTGTCCTAAGGAGTAACTAGAGTCCAGAATGGGAGCTCATGAGCCACCACTGCTCATGTCTAGGCATCAGACACACTCACCAGTGTGCTTCCGGCTGTGCATCTGTAAGTGGGACAGCTTGAAATATCTCTTATTGCAGCCCGGGTACGCACACATGAAAGGACGTTTCTCGCTGGTTTCAGAGGCCGACCGGACAAGCGTGGAGGCCACTCCAGAGACACGCCGTACATCCTGCAGGCAGAACAGAAGAGAGATGGGGGCCTTGGGCCACGTGTGAACCCTCATGCCAGTCCCATGGGAAAGTGGGCACTGAAACATACCAAAAGAAGAGAAGGAAGGTATGGCATGAGACAAAAAAAAAAAAATTTCAACCTCCATACCCTAGATGCCTGTGTCAGACATCATTAATGGATGACAGACTAGGAAACTCCATGATGCTGCTTTCGGATGTCATTACTACTGATCACCAGAACTTGGATTTGAAAGGAAGCATCTTTAGGGTCCCTCGGATAGATCCTCTAGAGAAGAAAAATTAGTGCCTGGGAGAGTCCCCAGTCCATCCCTCACTTGAGACACAAGGTCTAGGATTCTGGAGCCCACACTGTATGTACGTCCTCCCAACTGGAGACGTGATCACATGATTATGGACACAATCGAAAAACGGATGAGAAAGTTCTTACTAGAGACACCGAAACACTGAATGAGGCCAGAACCGACCTGAGCTTCACGTGTCGGTAAGTGATAAAGAAAGCATAATGCAGACATTTACCATGAAGCCTGTCTGGCATGCAACCCCGAAAGGAGTCATGACCCAGAGGCTGAGAATCAATGCTCTAAGCTCCACAACTCCCTGCCCCGCGTGTCTTCCAATCCACCACACTGGCATTCTTATACCTGGTTCACTTGCCTTGCCCTGAGAGGGCACTTACTTGCAAGAGAATGTTCTGTAGTGCCATACAATATTGTATTGGTAGGTCATAGTGTATGTCAAACCATTTGCCTTTCTCCCAGCAATAATGGTGCTATGCGAGTAAATGGTAGGCCAGTAGGCCAGTGGTTTTCTTGGCATATTCTAAAAGAAAAAGAGTAAGTAGGAAAATAGTACCTAGAAAATAGTACCGGGGAGACTATACTAAAGGACCAGACAGCGGATCTGATAAAGTCTGGTGGGAAGACAAGAACAATGAGCCTTTTTCGTCTCTTTTTATTCTAGATAAACATGTGGAAATAGGACTAAAAACAAACAAACAAACAGCTGTTACTGTCAGCCTGCAATCTGGCGAAGGATGCTGATAATGTCTGTTGTGGGACATTCATATGACTCCTTCGAAGCTCTGTCACATCTCCACATGTCTGTAGCTCATTTATTTCTCAGCACAAGAAGAGCCTGGGATGGCAGGGCACACTGTCTGGTTCCATGAAGTACAGTTCCTTGCCCATACCACATAGAGCCTGGCCCACATGTAGCTTATTTCCTGGGCCTTAACTTTCCTTGAGATGATACTCCAGCCATTTCTCTTGTGTTTGTAAATAGCAGATGTCGAGTCCCTGGTAACCGTGGTTCTGACTACCCAAAAGAGGCTTGGGGCCTCCCCTGAAAACCCTTCACTCACAGAGACCTCACCTTCCTGTTTCCACCGATAAATAACATTATTTAATTTCCACTAATAAACAACATTAATCAGCGAAACAAGGGTGGTGGCGTCCTATAAAATTTGTATTACACACCTCAGCTCCCGCTTACCAGCCATGTGGTTTTACACAAGACTCTTCTCTTCAGTTCCCCTCACTCTAAAATGCCTACTTCTTAAATGTGCAGTGAGGATCACAGGAGAGAACAAAGGCCGTGCCTAATCGTGCAGGAGTGATGAGTTCACATTGCTAAGTCAAAGAAGTTAGCCTGAAAATTCAACACAGAGTATCCAGGATCCTGAGAAACAGGAAGTGACTGCTGGGGAGAGAGGGAAGGGAAAGGGGCATGATGCGCAGGAGTAAATGGAGTATAAGCATTTTGAGACAGTAAACTACTCCATATTAATACTAGATATATAGATGGATGGAGGGAGGGAGGGAAAGAGGGATGAGTGGGTGGGGGATGAGTGGATACACATCTGTGTATCAAAGCACACGGAACTATATGACAAAGCAATTCAGTTACACATAATATTGTTTGTTTGTTTGTTTGTTTGTTTGTTTGTTTGTTTGTTGAGACAAAGTTTCTCTGTGTAGCCTTGGCTGTCCTGGAACTCACTCTGTAGATCAGGCTGGCCTTGAACTCACAGAGATCCACCTGCCCCTGCCTCCTGAGTGCTGGGACTAAAGGCGTGCACTGTCCGGTGAGTCACAGATGTGTACTGACATCTACTGTAACAAGTGAAGCGAAGCGTGCCAGGGACATCATGTGAAGGTGGACATGGAAATACTACACATTTTGTAAATATTGTGTGTAAACCCAGAAGCCAGGTAAAATCCATGTTGTAAAAGCCTGTGTCTAAATTTAACCACACCGCTGTTGTTGATGCTATCATCAACACTGGGCCAGACAGTTCCACAAGCACTTCATTAGACACAACAACTCCTGCAAGTCAAGGGTCCAAGTCACGAACTCAAGCGCCGATGACCAACATGCAGGGACTGTACCACCCACCGAGGAAGGAGAAAATCCTAAAGGGAGAAAGGGTGAGATTCTGCAGGAAGTACCATGGTGGCAGTCAGGCAAGGCACCAACTCTGCCAGTGGGGCATCTCTGATGGCAAACACCTGCCAGACGGTCCCACTAGCGGGGTGCTGCTGTAGGGCACGTGAGCAGAAGACGCAGTGCTGTGTCTGGGCCCCCCAGCACTCACCTGGATGCCTCGGAAGACGCCATGGGTGTGTATTCTGTACTGGGCACCACAGAGGATGGGGGTCGTGTGGTTCTCGCTCTCATACCCTGTGCTGTGGCTGCAAACAAAAGGTTGAAGTTGCTTCGGGGCCACCTTTTGGAAATACCGAGCCTTACCCGAATACCGAGCCTTACCCGCTTACTCTGGAACAGAGCTCTGTGAAGGAGGCCATTTCACCTATTCGTCATCACCTTGCAGCCACCCCACCTCACTGCGAGCCCCGAAATTCACCCTCAGAGGCAAACTGTCTGGTTCTGGTTCTGCGCCTCACGCAGACAGGCCGAGAAAAAGCCACAGTGGCAGGATCTCATCCCAGGCGAGTTGTTTACCATCGGTGCAGCAGGCTGACAGCGTGAGCATCTCAGGAATGAGCAGAATGCTTCAGGCTCCGTGTGAAGTGCACTGGGGTTTTGTCGGCACCTCATGACTCAGTTCTTACCAGATAGCACCAAGAAAGTGATGACATTTACAAGAAGAGATGTCACGTCCCCAGAAGGGCACGGGTAGTGCATGTCTTCGGCTCTTAGTCCACTGATCAGTTTTGCAGATCAAATTGACTGTGTGTGTGTGTGTGTGTGTGTGTGTGTGTGTGTGTGTGGTGTGTGTTCAGCTGCATGTACATATGGATGAATGTTCATATGGAGACCCTAAACAGATACCCTGTTTCTTCCTTGGTCTCTCTCCCCGTGACAGTCACTCACTGAACCTAGAGCTCACCAATTTGGCGAGGCTGGCTGCCTAGCAACCCCCAGGGAGCCCCTGCCTCTACTTCCCCAGTGCTGAGATTACAAGCACACCTGGAATTTTTAGATGGGTAGGGGGATGCTGAGCTGAGGTCCTCATGTTTACAGGGCGAGTACTTTTCTGACTGAGCTATCTCCCCGCCCCGAAATTAGCCTGACTTTTCAGGCTGTTCTTTTTGAAGCTCTACATCCCTCCGGCCTTGCTTGTAGTCCCAAGATACCAGAAAGCAATGCATTTCCTAGGAGTTGAGGCAGCCTGGAATGAAGGACAACTGTCTAGCACTCACGGATGGCCACTTAACTCTTTATGGGTACTCTGCTCTGAAAAGAATGCTCTCCTTCAGGTACAGTTCTGGAATGGTTTCTGCAATGATTTTATTTCCAGTCCAGCCGGCACAGAATTCTTACCCATACTTGCAATATATCAGCGTATACTGAGAGCCTGCGGGGATAGGGGTGAGGTAGCTTTCACACACATCTCTGTGAAGCAGGTATTCAAAAATACCTGTAAACCCCACAAAAAATAGCCCCAAAGTGGCCATATTATCCAGAAATCCTAGGTATATTCCTAAGAGACATAAAAGCTTATGTTCAGGATTAAAAAAAAACAACAACAACTTGTATATATACCATTCACTAGAAGAATTCTTTATTCTCAAAAGCCAGAAATGAGAATCAACTCACCAGCCACCTGATAAAGGAATAAATAAGGAAGTATATGCAGGTAGTGGAACATTGTTTGGCAAGAAAAAGCAAAATATTGATATGCTATAGAGACTTTAAGAACTAAGGCACAAACAACCATACTGCAAAATTTCATTTATACAAAATATCCAGAGTAAGCCAGTATCTTAGTGGTTGGTTGTGACACAATTCTGTAACTTTATCAGAAACTGTTGCATTGTACACTCTAAGGGGGTGGGGGGCTATATGGCATGTAAACAATGAAGCTCCTTTGAAATGTTTCATAGCAAATTGAGCACCGCACTGCACACCTATAATCCCAGCACTTGGGAGGTAGAGACAGAAGGATCAGAAGTGTAAGACTAGCCTAGGCTACATGAGACCTTTTCTCAAACAAACATACATATATACGAATAAACAAACAAAATAACAAAAATAACAGGCTTTGTAGTAGTATCATTAAAAGCCTCCAAGTAAAATTAATCGGCTGCTAGGCTAAGAACCTGCCCCTCTGCCTCTGCCCCTGCTGCCCAAGCATCGTGGATACCAGGGTACACACAGGTGACCTGGTGGGTCAGCCCACACTGTCTGGTGGACTTGGGGAAGGCCTAGAGCTGACTCATATCTAACTCCCCAGAGGAAAGAATTCCTGGAAGAGAGAAGTGTCTGCCAGGATGGCTGTAGCGTCCACACAGCCCGGGGTCACAGCAGCTGTGGGGTTTCACATTGAGTTCTGGCTCCAGCATTTTAGAAAGAAGGGTCTGTCTTTTCTGGACAGTTTGGGGAGGGAGGCGGCTGTTCTGTTCCCCCGGCCTATACTACACAATCTCTGAATGTCCCTCAGCAAGCGGTCTGATGCATCTTGGCAGGAGAAGGTGGGGCCTCAGATTGCTAAACCAGGGTCAAACATGCAAAAGTTGGGGAGAAACACCAAACTCAGACAGCATCTGCCTTGTCGACCCTGAGAGTGTGCTCAGCGGGTGAGTGAGGATGTGACTGCCTTCCTGACACACTGTTCCGAACCCTGGAGCCCTGCGAGAGGAAGAGCGGATTCAATGACTCCGCAGCAGCACCAAGAGGACAGGGTGGGGATGGGCCACAGAATGCTGTGCCTCAGCAGCTGGGAGACCCTGGTTTTACCTGGTTTCACCATCTGCATGAAGCCAAGCTGTGACATGCACATTTTCCTGGGCTAAGAGATACCTACGAAGAAATCTGAATTACTCTAGGGGGAGAAATTAACAATCTTTATTGACAGCTGTTCTCCTGGTAGTAGCTGAGCTCTTCAAAGGTGGAAGCAGTGATCAGGGAAAACAGATTGCCATCAAGACACTTGTCCAGTGGAAGAAAGTGTTGTGTCACTCAAGGGAACGACACTTGAGCACTGATCCTCACGCAAAAGAGATAGAAAGCGTCTGGGAAGGACATCTGCTTCTTTCCCGTGTGTTTGTGTTACTCTTCTGATTCTAGAATCTAGAAGGAGGACTCTGTTTTAGTGCCCATGGCTGGTGACTAGTTTTCAAAACGACCATTTCATTTGGTGTCAGTCAGCTGAAATTTCCCTCACTACTGGCTTCTGGTGAGCCACATAGTAAGTGTTATTAAATTTCAGCCATTTCTGAGTATGTCTTGTGCTTAACGCTAAACGTGACCTTGAGTATAGCATCTGCTCCTCTCTCTGTATGTCGTACTGCTGGTAACTGTAGTAAGCACAGAGCCCATAAACATCCCAGGATGGCTGGAGTCTAAACCCTTTCAGCTCTTGGAAGATAGTCTTCCAAGCTACTCAGTTATGACAACTATGACAAGGTGAAACGGGGTCTAAAGATTTTAGAACCAGAACATAAATCCAAGAGTCTGAAGAAGTAGGCCTCATCTGGAGGGAATTCCATCCAAATTACTCAAAATCAGCATGCTGGTCAAGCATATGTCACTGTGATTGTGGTCCACAAGGCTACCAGTGCTTTCAAGCCTGGGGCAGAAGCCTGGGCTGCTCAGCTTAGAGTGAATGTGACCACGACTGAAAATGTGTTCCACTGCCCTCCAGCAACAGTGCCTTTTCTCAGTCTAATAAAATCTCCAATTCTCCCATATTCCATCTCTATCAGCATGAACTGAAGAAGGTACCCATGGCCTGAGCTTACAAGATGTAACTGTTTTAGGTAAGAATCAAGCACTACGCATTATTAATGTTTCAAATCCTATCTGACTTGTCTCTGTGAGTCATTCCCAACTGCTGAAATCGTTCAGACTCTGGATTTGGCTTCCAAAACATTTGTCTTCCATCCCTGTATCATCTCTACATTTGAAAAGCACCTTCCCGGGGCTGAGGGGATAGCTCAGTCAGTAAACTGTACGCCACTGGAGCACGAGAAACTGAGTTCAATACCCACAGGCCATGTGAAAATACAGCATAGTGATGTGTGCTTACCAGATCAGCCCTGGGGAGGTAGATCTCTGGGGCTCACTGGCCAGCAAACCCCAAGCCAATGAAGGGACTCTGTCTCAAAGAACGAAGTAGATGGCACTCAAAGAGCAACTCTGATGTCCTCTGGCCTCCGTGAGCATACACATGTACTCCCAAATGCACACAAGACACAGATGCACACAAGAGATGCCCTCACTAGTTGTTGATACATATTCTCTGTCGCGTAATATATGACAAAAATTTCTCTGGGATATTGATGTGATGAGAATCCAGAAGATCTCTCCATGGGACAATCTGAAGGATGTCATTATAGACAAACAAGTCTTACAGACAGGGTCCAGTCTGCCAGGGCAGAAGTTCGCCTGAGACAGAAAGGCTCGGGAAGATGATGGTGGCCAGTGCAACCACTGAGCGCTGAGACCCAAAAGCTGGCTTAGACGAACAGGTGGAGCCAAGATTTCTACATGGACCACTTTCTTTGCCAGGGCCCATGACTCTGCTGCGGACGAACCAAACCAAACCAGGGTGAGGGTAAGACTCACAAAGGCCGAGAGCTGCAGAGCCTGCCTAGAATGACAAGAAGCATAGCAACCATGGCGAACATTTTCCTAGAGGCACAGATGCACATTCCAAATAAAAGGACCACAGGACAACGCAGCGACAGAAATTGTTATTTACAGAGATGAAACTAGGAAGTGGGTTCTAGAGCAGAGTGTGAACCCTATTGTGACAAGAATGCAAGGGATTCCCTTTTTCAGGGTAGAAATGAATGCAATGGCTTTCCTACCATCCGACCGGGATAATGAGGGAAATAAAGAGAAAGTGAGATGTATGCATAGCCAGCTATATGAACCAAGCAAAGTATTTGAGCAAGCCTGGCCTTTCTTAGGCTAAGAAAATGTTGCTTCATAAAACAGCATTCCTGAATGCTGAATGGCAGGAGAAACGGGTAAGATGGTTCTACGGCTAATATCCTCAGGAGGGGTTTATAGGTTTACAGGGTTTACAGTAAGACGTAATTGGCAGCTGTGGTTCCAGGTGGCCTTGGTACAGGCAGGTGAGGGTGAGAAAGAAACCTGTATGATGCAGTTACTTTTCCCAGCCTGAAAGAGCTTGTGTTCTAGAAGTCAGTCATTAGGATGATAAAGACACTTTAGACCATCTTCGGTATTATTGTCCAGCCAATGATAAACCATTTAGACC